GATTTTCACACTGTTCTTCTAAAGAATTCCTATCATAGAGAAAAAAAAATCTTACCTGAGTATCTAGGATTATAATCAGGAGAAGGTGACCTTTTCCTTTCAGATTTTTGTGGCATAGAAAGGATAATTAAAAAAAAAATTTTTTTTTAATGTTTTTCATTTTTGAGAGAGAGAGAGAGAGACAGAGCATGAGTTGGAGAGGGGCAGAGAGAGAGGGAGACACAGAATCTGAAGCAGGCTCCAGATTCCAATGCGGGGCTCAAATTCATGAACCATGAGATCATGACCTGAGCTGAAGTAAGTCGCTTAACTGACTGGGCCATCCAGGTGCCCCAAGAAAGGATAATTTTTGTTAAGGAAGACTTCGGATTATAAAAGTAATTCAAATGCTCATTGTAGAAATTTTGAAAAATGCAGAAAAATCTAAAGAAAATACCAATCCCCATAATCATAACCTGAGATTTATTTTCTTGTCTTTTGTGTAGTTTATAATTTAGATCATATTCTATATTTGTAACCAATTATATCTGTTAACGAATAAACACTTTCCTATCATGCCAGTGATTATATACTTATGCTATATATGTTTTATAATTCATTTTTTGTATACTGCCACTTAAGTTTAAGCCATCATGTTAATTACTAATGTTTTTAGCCTTCTGGGGTACTTTATTTTTTTCATAATTTTACATTATACGGACTAAAGCACTCTATTTTTCTGATAGTGAATTAATTAGCACATGTGGGCTCACAAAAGGTATAAGTAGTTTGTAAATGCGATGTGTGCCATCCAAGTAGATACCGCAGGTCTGTATTCATATGCTTCCTTGTAAAGTCCAGGGACTTTCCAGATGATTTGCACCAATTGTCTCAAAGTCACAGCATAGTGACTAACACTTGATGAAAAATGAAGAATGTGGTTTGGGTTTTGGAAAGCTACCGCAGCCCGCAGCCCTCGTTTAGGTCATTTCCATAGTGTTTGTTAAAGCTCTGATGGTCACATCCTCTTGCAGAATGCATGGTAGGTTATTGGTAATGGTAGCACACCTGTTTCTCATCTCAAACCAAAGACGCTTCCAACAAGGCAGTTGATGTAGCTTACGCTGCTTGAGACCACCGTCTTCTCACACTGGACTGCATGGGCTCCTGGCAGCATGCATTTTAAGCCTTGTTGACTTTGTGTTGACAATGAGATAATAGCCCAGGACAACCTTGTTTTAATGTGCACCTTTTTGTTACATATTCTTAAATGATTTCCAAAGGAACAACATTTACAATGCTGTTAATAATATAATGGCTAGCTTTTTTTTTTTAATACAAAAAGGTATTTTGTTAATTTATTTACAATTCACTTTTAAATCTACAAATTAAAAAAATTCAGGTATATGGATTACTTACAAGAATTCTTCCCCCTTATTTCTTTTTTAAATTTTTGCTTATTTGTAAAATTATTTTTTAATTTAATTTTTTAAAAATTATTTTTAACGTTTATTCATTTTTTGAGAGACAGAGAGAGACAGAGCATGAGTGGGGGAGGAGCAAAGAGAGAGAGGGAGACACAGAATCCGAAGCGGGCTCCAGGCTCTGAACTGACAGTACAGAGCCCAACGCGGGGCTCAGACTCACAAACCATGAGATCGTGACCTGAGCCAAAGTTGGACACTGAACCAACTGAGCCACCCAGGCGCCCCAAAATTATTTTTTAATTTTAAATATCAGTATAATTAATGTACAGTGTTACATTAGGTATACAATATAGTGATTCATGAATTCTATACATTACTCAGTGCTCCTCATGACAAGTGTATCCTTAATCCCCATCTATTTCACCCATGCCCCCACCCACCTCCCCTCTGGTAACCATAAACTTGTTCTCTATAGCTAAGAGTCTGTGTCTTGGTTTATCTTTTTTTCCCACTTTGTTCATTTGTTTTGTTTCCTCAGTTCCACATATTAGTGAAATCATACTGTATTTGTCTTTCTCTGACTGATTTATTTTGCTTAGCATTATATCCTGTAGATCCATCCATGCCATTGCAGATGGCAAGGTTTCATTCTTTTTTACAGCTGAATAATATGCCATTGTAGAAATACCAAATCATCTTTATCCATTCATCTATTGATGGACACTTGGGCTGCCTCCATAGTTTGGTTGTTGTAAATAATGCTGCAATAAACATAGGGGTGCATGTATCCCTTTGAATTAGTATTTTCATATTCTTTGGGTAAATACCCAATAATGGAATTATTAGATCATATTGTATTTCTGTTTTTAACTTTTTGAGGAACAAAAACACCCTCTCCAACACTTGTCATTTCTTGTGTTGTTGATTTTAGCCATTCTGACAGGTGTGAGGTGATATCTCATTGTGGTTTTGATTTGCATTTCCCTGATGATGAGTGGTGCTGAACATCTTTTCATGGCCAACAGTCATCTGTAGGTCTTTGAAGAAATGTTTGTTCATGTCATCTACTTACTTTTAATTGGATCATTTGGGTTGTTTTTGGTGTTGAGGTGTATAAAAGCTTTATATATTTTGGATACTAACCCCTTATCAGGATATATGATTTAGAAATGTTTTCTCCCATTCAGTTAGTTGTCTTTTAGTTTTATTGATTGTTTCCTTTGCTGTGTAGAAGGACATGGTCCCAATGGTTTATTTTTGGTTTTATTTCCCTTGACTCGGGGAACATATCTAGAAAACTGTTGCTATGGCCAATGTCAGAGCAATTACTGTTTGTGCTCTCTTGTATGATTTTTATGGTTTCAGGTCTCACTTTCAGTTCTTTAATGGCTTTTATTGAACACGTATAATATGCCAGGCATTGGGCCATGTGCGTTATTTATCTTCTTTGAACCTGGTACTCAAGTTCATGCTCTGATTATTCCCATTTATTTCACCTGCAGAAAAGTGAGGGCTAGGATGCTTGAGTAACTTGCCCCTGTGTTACAGAGCTTAGAAAGAGTAGCCAGATTTGTGTTTTCAGTGTCTAGAAGCCTGGGCTTCTACCAACTAGACTGTCCCTGCCTGACAATGCCATGATACCTTATTACAAAGTTCACTGAGAATAGATCATATAAGGGATGTAATTCCTTTCAGAAGGCCACTTTTGAGTCCTCAGGTAATTAAGGCCATTTTATGTCCTTTTGGTAAGTAAGCACATTTTGATGGCCTTTACCCAACATAGACTCCCGAGACCCTGTCTCTACCACAGTGTGTACCCACATGGAATGAGGCCAGTCTGCTTAGGCCTTATAGAAGAAGCAGGTCTCAAGCACCAGTCAGTAGGAGCACAAGGGGGAATTTAGCAGAGAAGATTGGGAAGAAGATTCTACTTTATCACTATAAATATAATGTTGAAATTGGCAAATTAAGAGTAAGTTACACCCAGAAGTTTTGCTTTGATTAGGAGTGGTAGATCTTTCTTGGGAACTAATGACAGATTTTGGAGGAGGTTGGACATAGTTGTTAGAAACTGAATTTGGCCTGCTAATGAATAAAAAGTTACTATATATTTTATCAGTAGAACCCACATGTTGGTTCAAAGTCCATCATGTCAAATGAACTGGAATGGATAGAAACTCCTTGTGGGCCATCTTAGAAGTTGAAAAGATTTGATTGTCTTAAAATTTCCAAGGTGGCCTCTTTTATTATTATTTAATGTTTACATATTTTTTTTTTTAATTTTTTTTTCAACGTTTTTATTTATTTTTGGGACAGAGAGAGACAGAGCATGAACAGGGGAGGGGCAGAGAGAGAGGGAGACACAGAATCGGAAACAGGCTCCAGGCTCTGAGCCATCAGCCCAGAGCCTGACGCGGGGCTCGAACTCACGGACCGCGAGATCGTGACCTGGCTGAAGTCGGACGCTTAACCGACTGCGCCACCCAGGCGCCCCATAATGTTTACATATTTTTGAAGGAGACAGAGACAGAGTGCAAGCGGGGGAAGGGCAGGGAGAGAGGGAGACACAGAATCCAAAGCAGGCTCCAGGCTCTGAGCTGTCAGCACACAGCCCGACACACGGCTCGAACCCATGAGAACTGTGAGATAATGACCTGAGCTGAAGCCGGACGCTTAACCGACTGAGCCACCCAGGCGCCCCCCAAGGTGGCCTTTTTCTGACTTGCTACCCACTCCAGTTCATGTTAGAAGTTGATTCATTAGGAATTATTGATGATCTTGGGTGTGACTAACTGAGCAATTATGAAGTAATCAAATGAATTTACACTTGATTTTAGAAGTCACCATACTTTTTTTTATTGAACTCAAGTTGACACAATGTTGCATTAGATTCAGGTGTATAGGTTAGTCTTTCGGCAGGTCTGTTTGTTATGCTGTGCTTACCACAAGTGTAGCTACGATCTGTCCCCACACAACACTCTTCCAGTACCATGGACTAGGTGCCCTGTGCTGTGCCTTTCATCCCGGTGGCAGCAGCATTCCATAAGGAAAGCCTATACCTCACATTCCACTTGACCCATTTGCTCATCCTCCCCCCATTCTGGCAACCATCAGTTTGTTCTGTGTATTTATAGGTCTGTTTCTGTTTTTTTTAATTTCTTTGCTCATTTTTTTTTTTTAGATTCCATATGTAAGTGAAATCATGTGGTATATGTCTTTCTCTGACTTATTTCAGATACTCAGCATTATACCCTCTAGGTACATCCACACTGTCACAAATAGCAAGATCTCACTCTTGTTTATGGCTGAGTAATAGTCCACTGTGTATATATACCATGTCCTCCTTATCTACTCATCTATCAGTGGACACTTGGGTTGCTTCCATATCTTGGATATTGTAAACAATGCTGCAGGAAACATATGGGTTCCTGTATCTTTTTGAATGAGTGTTTTTATTTTCTTTAGATAAATGAGAAGTGACCTGTGTCTTCTAATTGCATACCTGACGATAAGCTAATCAGGAAATACACAGGAATGGTTTGCAAGCGACAGTGAAATCTTTGTTGATGTCTTTTTTCTCTCTTATTTATTAAGAAATCAATGAATGTACTGTGAACCCTGACATCTGTGGAGCAGGACACTGCATTAACCTGCCTGTGAGGTATACGTGTATATGCTATGAGGGCTACAAGTTCAGTGAGCAACAGAGGAAATGTGTTGGTAAGAGACACTTTTTCATGGATGAAATTATTGAAGATAAAACATTTCCACATTAAGAACATTTTCCCTGTAATTATCATGGGAAATGTTATTGTGTTTAATTTTTAAAAATTTCTGTCCCTGCACTAAAAGAGCTCAAAAAGAGGTTTGTTCATCTCCTGGGTTGCTCTTACCTCCTGTTTCAGTGCTACCTACCTTTCCAAATGTAATACAATTAGATAAAAGGGGGAAAAAGGTAAAATAATTTCCAAAGATTTCTAGGTATAATAATATAATAAAATATATAATATATGAAGTAATAGAAATAACTACCTATAAGCATGTATTTAGCAAAACCAAAATAATAATACTATATACTGCAATAAAGAATTATATTCATGTAATTGCTTAAAATCTGATTTCTAAAAGCAATTTCTAAACTGAAAATCAGTAGACTAACACAAAGCTCTTAATGAATTTACAAATCCAGCCTCTCATACGTGGTTCTTTGGAAAAAAATGTATCTCAGAAAGACGTATGATGGCATTATGGAAATCATTTCAGTGCATTAACACTAAATTTAATTGCTCTCTTTTTTAGAAAAAGGAAATTCAGCACTAAGAGTTAGAAGGCAAATATAAAGCAACAAGGCATATACCCAGTTAATATGACTTTGATATGCTAAGTGTCCATAAGATGTGTGACTTAATGTTATTTTGTTTTGTATATATATATGTGGAGTGGGATGAGGGGAGTATCCACCTGCTCTGTACCATGGCTATTTCTCTTGAATTTGCATACATTGTATTCTGTTTGGAATCGTAGAATATAACAGGGCATTTGAGATGATCTAGTCTAGCTTTGCCCACGTGCACAGTGGGAGAGTCCCTTTTACAGTATTTCTGGCACTCTCTGCTGAGCTGGCCTGGGAGTTGCACATGAATTTCAGTGCTTAGATGATTCCATGTATCAGAGGGGTCCTTCTGTGTTGACCTAAATCTGTCTCTCACAAACACCAATGTGAAGGTTGTAGTTTTAGCTTTTCAAACAATATACCATAAGTGTATTCCCTGTTCCCAGTAACCATCCTTCAAGTATTTGAGGCGTATGATCATGTCTCCCTTTCCTAGTCTCCTCGGTTATAAGGATGTGGTGCTCAGGGAATAGTGTGCTGGTATTTTATGAACAAGGAGACTGAGAATTTCATGCTACACGACACTGATACTTTTATCTGTATTTTTGTTAACAGATATTGATGAATGCACTCAGGTCCAACAGCTCTGTTCCCAGGGACGTTGTGAAAACACCGAGGGAAGTTTCTTGTGTATTTGCCCAGCAGGATTTATGGCCAGTGAGGAGGGTCCTAACTGCATAGGTAATGGCTGTGCTCTTCCTGATGCATAAATTCCCAGATCTGGGTTGTTAGCTCCCCTAAGATCCCATCAATCTTAACTGCTTATTCTGGCAACCCAGAATTTATTACTGAACACCTTTTATGGCATAGTCATCTGCTAGATACTGGAGGATATAAATATGGAAGTTTTTTTCTCCAACGCTACGGAACGAAGAGTGTCAAGTGTGTGCAGAGACCCAAGATGTTAAATGTGTTGGGTCCCACATAAATCAAAACCACTCAATTTTGAAACACGTCAAACAAATCAAAGGGATGGTAGTGGGAATCGGTTGTTTGATTCTGGACTTCAAACTGACCTGGGAGATGGGAGAGGTTTGAAATTCTGTTTGGAGAAATAAAACTCGACCGTGTTTTCTGCTTCGTATAGATGTTGACGAGTGCCTGAGGCCAGATGTGTGTGGGGAAGGACACTGCATCAATACCGTGGGGGCCTTCCGGTGTGAATACTGCGACAGCGGGTACCGCATGACCCGGGGCGGCCGTTGTGAGGGTGAGTCAGTGCCACCTTGAAGTGTGGAGCACACGTGATGGTGAAATGCAGGGCTGGGTCCACACCTGAGACTTTCCTCCACCAGCCTGTGCATGATATCAGCTCATCGAAGCTCTTCCTGCCTTCTGCAGTCACAGCCTCTTGGCCTCGCTTCAGGGACTTTGGATTGTTTTCCGTTGTCTTCCATCTTCGCTCTCCCCTTGTCCACCTCAGCATCTGCCTTCCCTGGTAGTTTGAGTGAATCGCTGTAGAACAATTGATTGTGGAGCATCATAGCGTAAGCCCAGACTTAATTACAGCGTCTGGATCATTCATCTGGGAACATGGTGCAGATTTACCCGCTGTTGATTTTTAGTTTCCACCCTTCTTGCCCTATTACATTCCTTTCTTGCAGCTTGTCTTACGTGTGTTCTGGGACTTGGTTACAAACCCTTCTGTACCAAAGCTCCCTCTGACTAACTCCAGGTTGCATTCTAGCCACGCTAGATAAAATTTCTTTATTATTGATTGCGGCAATGAGTTTGCTAGTATTATATTAAAAAAAAAAGTTCTGAGAAGCTTTTAGAGTATGGCCAGAATGCTTAACCATTTAATATTTCTGCTCATGTTTGTATCCCAGTTATACAGTTTCTTTTTGAAACCACCATGGTGCTTTTTAAATAATTATTTTCATGAAGAAATATGTTGCACTTCTGCTTGAATGCTGCCATGGATATGTGCCGGGGAAGGGAAGAGGGGTCTCTGAACACTTTTCTGAGGGGCCAGGCCATGTGGATGGTCCTGGTTCCACGGGGGTTCTTTGCCTGTGGCCGCCTGAAGATCAGCCCATTTTCTTTTTTTTTTTTTTTTTTTTTTTTTTTTTTTTTTTTTTAAATTTTTTTTTTTCAACGTTTATTTATTTTTGGGACAGAGAGAGACAGAGCATGAACGGGGGAGGGGCAGAGAGAGAGGGAGACACAGAATCGGAAACAGGCTCCAGGCTCTGAGCCATCAGCCCAGAGCCCGACGCGGGGCTCGAACTCACGGACCGCGAGATCGTGACCTGGCTGAAGTGGCTGAAGTCGGACGCTTAACCGACTGCGCCACCCAGGCGCCCCCAGCCCATTTTCTAATATGGCTCGACTTCCAGACCAAGGGAGGGACAGACAAGTTGGGGCAGGCTGCCCTCAGCTGTCCCTGCCTCCTCTGCATTGGTTTTCTACATGGATCTAATGATCTGGTCCTGGAGGGAGAGCTAATTCGGTGTCTTGGCAGTCTGTCCCTGCCTCTCCCCCTGGCCCCTTGCATTCTGATCTGGAGAGACGCGGGAACATTTTACATTCCTGAATCTCTGATCAACTAGGATCACAACAGAACCATAAGGTCTCTTCCCTGGCAGCTGAGGGCCATGAGACAACAGGGGTGAAGTGTGCCCACTCTCCTTTTATAGGGGACTCTCACTGTGCCCTGGAGAGGCAGCATGCCCCCTTGGGAGGGGGCAGGACTGTGGCATCAGCTCCTGACTTCTGCGCTTAGTCACTTTATGGCTTGGAGCCAGCGACTTGGCCCCTTTGGATTGTTAACTTGGGAGCCACAAAGTTAACTTTCAGGGCTGTCCTGAGAATAAATGCGTGTTGTGGTATCTTGTGTGGTGCCTTTCACCTTATTAGTTCTCAAGAACCATTCTCTAGAAACCTCCCCCCTTTCCTGATGACTTTGTTTTTGCATGGGCCTTCTTGGTACATCTATAGCCTTGGAAATGCTTTTAAAGAAATGGCGTGGTTTACCTGACAAGCCTTTATGTGTAAAACAACACTCCCCGAAAAAGTCAAATGCTGATTCTAAAATTTTTTTCAATGTTTATTTATTTTTGAGAGAGAGAGAATGCACATGTGACCAAGTGGGGGAGGAGCAGAGAGAGAGGGAGACACAGAATCCAAAGCAGGCTCCAGGCTCTGAGCTGTCCGCACAGAGCCCCACGTGGATCTTGAACCCATGAGCCATGAGATCATGACCTGAGCTGAAGTCAGATACTTAACTGATTGAAGTCACATGCTGATTCTTAAGTCATACTTACAGTTTCAGGATGGGGAGTTGAGGCATTTAAGTAGTAACTCTGGTGCAAGGATGGAGAGTGGGAAGGAGTAGAAATTTGAAAATTCTGTACGTAAACAGGAAACCGATGGAGACTGTTCAGTAATATTTGGTGTATGGAAATTATTTCACAGAAATACTACCAGGGTTCCCTGAGTAAATAATACATAATTCTATCCCCATGAAATGGCTTGAAAAGAAGAAGGAGCCAAATAACATGGCTGTTTTCTAATTTCGTCATGGACCAGAACCAAAGGTCCCCAGGCTCCTGGCTCACCAAAGATTTTCTCAGCTGCCACTAACAAAGTTGCTTTCAAACAGCCCCAGTCTCCAAGGAGTCTATTGTAGTTCACAGACATTATCTCATGCGTCCTTACTTTGTCCTGCTGAGGTATTACCAGGCAGGTAGTCCCTAATTTATAGATGAGGGAACGAGCAGACAGAGGTGAGAGTGGCCGGAAATGCAGGGATGTTGTCTTGTCTTGCTTCGCATTGCATCTTATTTATTGGGCCAGCCTTCCTTAAAACCTTCTCTGACTTAACAGTTGTAGTTCTATTTAAAAAAAAAAAAAAAATCCTTCCAGAGAAGAATGTAATGCTGTTTGGAAAATGAAACTGGCAGGCGTCATCTTTCTGTAGAACAAGAAGTCCCAGAACATCTGACCTAAAACACACACACACACACACACACACACACACACACACACACACACACACACACACACCACTATGTGTCATTGTCTGTTGGCAAGGATTTTTCGCTGATAGGAAAAAAAAATTACCACACTGACTTGGTGCTTATTCTATTAATAACATCTTCAACATTTTTCCTTTGAGCATCTTTTTTACTTGAAGCATATTTTCACACTTGTCTGGTGATAATGAGAGATAATTTTTGAGAATTTCCCAGAATGGATGAATGTATCCGTTATATATTTCTTTCACTTTTTGCTTATGTCCTGAAAATTGTCTTTATATTTTGCATATGATTGGAGGTCCTATATGTATCTTATATTGGAACACTTAGACAGTAAATACACTCATTTGAATTCAGACTCCAATCCCAGAAAAAAATGATCATTTCAAGTGGGGCTGGTATCCAAGGTATTCCCACTCTTGTTAAACTCCTGAACCATTTCCTGTATCCTGCTTCCCCCTTCTGTTATTATACCATTCTTCAAAATGCCTAGAGCCTCTGTAGTAGTTACGTCCGCCACAGCCCCAAGCATATTTAAGGTGTTGTTTTTCTCCTCACATTGAAAAGAACAGTGATGAATAACTCCAGTTAGCTGTGAATGTGAATAATAAGGTATATTTTTATTAGAAAATATTAGCATATGATCATATCACCATGTTTTTTGGAAAGTCTGGCAAATATTTGATGAGTTCATTTTCTCCTAATGTTCTGTTTCCACCTCCAAGGAGTTCACAGCCTGTGAAAGGTTTTAAATTATTCAAACCTTGGGTGTTCTTAGGCCCATGAAGCCAAAGCAAGGATTTCCCTAGAGCATCCATTGTCTGCAGAGAGAACCTCTGGCCAGGTGGATATGTGGCTTTGTCACTCTCATGCCTGTTTATTATATTTCTTTCTGGCAAGCTGCAGTATTCCTTCAAAGGTTTGGTGTTCAGAAAATGGCCCCCAAGAAGCTGCCAGCTCCCAGCAATGGAGAGGTCTAACCCTGCCAGTTGGAAAACTGGGGCCAAGTTTTTCCTTTGGATGTGTGTAAATATTTTACTCAAGGTCTACCTGGCTTTGCATTATTGTTGTGGTGGTTAAGTGTAGGCACAGTGTTTGACTTACCTAGTTATGGTTTTCTCCACCAAAATGTAGATACAACATACCTTTTTTTCCCCCCGGCTTCATCAGAAAAGTGAATGTTTGCTTCCATATTCTGATAAATGCTTGTGACCTACTTTTCCAATTTTTCAGATATTGATGAATGTTTAACTCCAAGCACTTGTCCAGATGAGCAGTGCGTGAATTCTCCTGGATCTTACCAGTGTGTTCCCTGCACAGAAGGGTTCCGAGGCTGGAATGGGCAATGTCTTGGTAGGTACTAGAGTGTTCTTATCAAAGTCTTGTTTTTTTCTGCCTAGTGCATTTTCTGACAGAGTGATGTAATGCCAAGTGATCCCTCGTTCAAAATGGAAAAAAAGAGAAAAAATGGAATATGACAAAGTTGTGTCATTCTGAGAAAACTTCTGAGAAAAGTTCAAAGTCACTTTTAACCATGGAGAAAATGGGAAAACAAGTTGGTAGGAAGAATGGGAGATTTTACCTGGGAGAAATAATTCTGAGTGAAGCAAATTATGGTCTTTGATGTGATAAATAACCAGGACCAAATAAAACAGTAATCATCACAGGGAGGGAGAGGTGGAGGCAAAAGGCTAAAAGAGAGAAAAGGTCTAAGAAGAGAACGCTTACCACACACTAATAGAATTTGGAAGCATACAGCACAAACATAGAGCAGAAGCAGAAGAGAAATCTTGATGGCTTGCCGAGTCTCTGACGTGTATTCACTGAAGTCTTTACTAAATACTTCATACCAACATTAGGCACTGAGGAAGAGAAGCATCAAATTTGCTTTCAGTCTCTTTAGCTGTGTTCCACTTAGCTTTCCCCCTTAATGGTTTTCCTCTGTGTTTCTGTCTCTATCTCTAATAATTTCCTTAGAAGCTGAGCTCTTTTACACTCAATGCCAGACTCTGACCATATGTGTTAAACTTCTCATTTCTTCATACCTTCCTTCCTTCTTCCACAAAGGCTGAAGAGCTTACTGTATATACCCAGGGTTGTGCTGTGTGCTGGGATACGTTGAGGGACAAAAAAAGTGCCTTCCTCGTGGAACTGTCTGGCGAGGAAGACTCATAAGTATCTCATAAGTAAATGCAAAGGCACCAATAAGACAGTGCTGGGAAGTAGGGTTCTCTGCTGCTCTAAGAGTGTGCGATAGAACGAGTTGCCTCTGGGAAAATTCCTGATCGAGGTTACACTGAGGAAGGGGAGGGGAAGGAGATAAGTTTGGACAGAGGAAACAGCCTGTGCAGGGCGCTTGTGGATGGAGGAAGCAGTTAGGTTCACCTTTCAGTCACTAGCTGAAAGGCTAGACAGAGAACAAGGGAAGATTGGCCGCAGGATGAGGAGGCAGAACACGCTAGATGGACTCTCTCAGTCTTACTTAAGATGCTCATCTTTACTTGTACACCTCTGGGAAGATGTTTAGGTGTTGCAGAGCAGACAGGATGAGTAGGCTCGGCAGAAAGAGTCCCAATTTCAAAGCTTTGGACTCATCACCAGGTTGCATAAGCTACGCCTTTGTACATGGCCGTCTCCTTCTGTCGTTGGAATTGAGATGTTGATCTTTGGAAGAAGGGAAGATTTGGGTTCATTAATTGCTTATTTGATCTGCATTTGTTGATGTGATCGGTGCTGGTCAGAACATTATGTTTGGTTTTAATTTTCCCGTTTGGCATAAATTTCATACTTGCCTGTCAGGATTCCATTTGTGTTCTCATTTTCACATACTGAGGCATATTATAATCCAAGAGCAGAGCCTGAATTTTACCTTCAATAACTAAAATTCATCATAGTGGTATAAACACAGCCCTGATGCATGAACTTGCTAATGAAATATGACTGACCAAATTGGCAAGTGATCGTTCTTCAATACAAATGCGTTTATCTAGATTGGGCAATCATAAGAAATGAGTTCTCATACCTGGATGTGTGCAGTCAATCTAATCATGACCACTTTGCTCTGGTTTAATGACAGAAACACAGCATCTCATTTAAAAGTAACTTGACTTTGCCAACCAGACTTAGTGGAATCCTAAGCAGAAATCCTAGGTCACCATGTCAGTCACCCAAAGTCATACACTTAGCCACTTGTTCCAAGCACTACTTTTCGGTTTTGCATTGCTAAGGTCATGCAATTCCTATGACAAGTAGACTGTGTACTTTGTTTCCTTCTGCCTTTATCTACAGATCAGGCTTCTCCTCCATGATGATGTTTCAGTTCCATTCGTTGTTCAGAGCTAGACTTAGAGCTCTTCTTAGATTCTCAGGAGGGCTTTTGCAGATTATACCAAAACGGATCCGTGTTAATTTTTTATGGCAGTAGAGCTTTCACACGTTAAAAAGTTGAGTGTGACAAAAAGTCGATGTCGCAACATGCCTTTCTATTCTTACTGAACCAATGAATGAATGAGATTCTTCTGCGCTCAGCTCTGACAATGCTAATGAATACCCAGCGATGGCTCCTACATTTTAGTTCTCACCTTTATACTTCTGGTACTCTAAAATACTTTTCAAAGGTGCAGTCATTACTTAAGCTGATCATTGAGTTGAGCTAGTCAACAACAATTTGAGTATATATTTATTTTCAATTTAACAGTTGTGTGCCTACCAAGAGCCAGGCAGTTTTCAAGACCCCGGAGATTAGGGGAAAATAAAAAAATGCCTTCCCCTCTTTGCCTGTGTACTCTAGAGCTTACGTTGTGTTTGCAGATAAACAAGTCAGCAAGTAAAGTATATGGTATGTCAGATGTGTTTTCAGTGCCATGAAGGAGAAAAAAATAAAATAAAACTGCCTAAGGGATACAGAGAGTGTCAGATTCTATGGTGGTCAGAGAAGACATCAAATGATAAGTTATTTATACAGTGTTCCTTTCTAACTATTTGTTTTTTTCTCTGTTGGTTATTAGTGATGGGTGTGTGGCTTTTTAATATCATTTTAGTCCAGATAATTTAGGGTGCATTGGTGAGACTGTTTTCCCCCAATTTTAAATGTATGAGAACATTAAAGACTTAAAAGTATTCCAAATCTCACCATTTGAAGGAAAGTCTTACACTTGGTATTTGTTAGTTGCCATCTGTAGAGAAGATAATCCCTACGTCACAGGGTTCTCTGTTCCATAAGTCTTCATGTCCTCCTTTTCCTACCACTCTGCTCCTGCTGACTGAATGTTTTTAAATTATTACAATTAAAGTTGTACAGGGTCATATGTAATACTACTATCGTGTGGCATTATGCTTATGGTTTTTTCTAAAGCCTGTTGATCTGTATATTGATTTGGCTCTTTTTCCTGTTAAATGGATTCATCAGGAATTGAGAATTGCTATTTTGACTCATATTCTGCAGGGATTTGATGCCAGTTAGACTTTCTCCTTCTTTTCCTGACTTAACAGTGAACTTGCTGAAACCATTAATGGCCTTGTATTCCTGCCATGTAAGCTGGCTCACTGATTGATGCTTCTCCTTGATTTATGAATTAGAGCAGAAATCATCTGGGGCCGAAACAGGTCAGATGTTAGCAGGTGTTGTCTGGAAGACCATGCTGTTTCCTAGTGTTGAGTTCAGGGCATATGATCCTTCATTCTCAGTCGTTTATTGTCCACTTTCAAAATATCTATCCCTTGGTGCTTTTTGGCAACTCTTGCTGGCTCCTCTGTTAATGTAGCTTCTTCTTTCTTTTTTTTTTTTTTTTCAACGTTTATTTTATTTTTGGGACAGAGAGACAGAGCATGAGCAGGGGAGAGGGCAGAGAGGGAGACACAGAATTGGAAACAGGCTCAGGCTCCAGTGTCTTCCCAGCCATCAGCCCAGAGCCATCAGCCTGTATTCGACCAGGCCTGGCGGGGCTCAAACTCACCGGACTGTAGATCGCGTGACCTGGCTGGTCGGACGACTGCCAGCCGACTGCACCCATGCCGAAAGCGCCCTCTTATGCTTTCGTTGTGGATTTCAGTCCTCTCTTGAAAGCCACTTTCATCATTCAACACTGTATTCCTTGGACCTCACGTTCAGCCTGGAGTTGTTGCCCACTTGATTCCCGCCTCTAATGATTATTTCTTCACCCTGGGTTCTGGCGAGTTCCAACTGGCTGCTTCAACCAGGACCTTTCTTGAGGGAAGCCAGCCTGTCAGGTAGTCAATTAACAGGTTTCTCTTCACTCATGAAGAACAGGCCTGATTCAAACCCTACTAGAGCCATCCTTCAAAGGAGATTCTCTGATATTTAATTGTGTAAAGGTACATACGGCAACTCTTCTGTAAAGATCATATTTCCTTGAACTTAGATTTTGAGCTATATGACCTCTCTGAAGCTTGGTTTCAATAGCTTTAAAATGGGTATTGAGATACTCTTCTTCATTGGATTTACTGTCAGAATTAAATAAGCAATATAAAGCATGTAGAAAGGCATGTGACACAATGTAGAACCCAATAAATGTTATAACCCTTCTTCCCCCAACTCTGTTATCCTCCCGTTTACCTCCTTAATCCTGAAATATAAGAAGGGCAGTAATAACTGATAGCTATCCAATAAATTCTATGTCAAGTTTCTGTGTGTAACTATCCTTGGCTTTTCATAAGCTCATTTCCTGTAGTTCTTCCCTCTCCCCGTGTCATCAGAGCCTTTGTTTATGAATCTAAGTAATCTTAATCTTAGAGTTTCCTTTCAACTTCTGGACATTTTTGTTTAGCTGGGATATATTGCTTAAGAATCCTCATGCTTTTCTGTAGGATCACTGATCATCCCTAACAAATGTTTCGCCTTCTGCAATACTGCCGTTTCCATCCTTCTACTTCACTTTCTTTGCTCACCTTCATAAGATACGGTATCTATCACCTGGTGGTTGTATGCAGGCAGTGCTGAGTTTACTTTATTGTCTTACTTTAGAATTGAGTCTGTGAAAAACCATGTGACCTGGGAACACAAATTTCTGAGATTTTTATCATAGTAATCCTTCTCTGTCAAACCGTAATTAAGTTAATGGTGACTCTGTGACTCCGATTTACGTTTTCTAAACGTAATGGGTCCTAGGCATTTGAAGAACTCCGTGTTATTTGATCCACTTGACAACGGGTTAGCCTTAGTCTTAACGAAAACCAGGTGCAGAGAACTTACACGGTAAACGTGGAAAGCTCCTTGTTCTAGGAGTTCTTTTCACACTAGGATTTATTTTCAGATTTTGAGGGATCGTTAACCTTTATGGAATACATGAATATTCATAGACTTATATGAAATTGGAGACTTTCATCCTACATTT